CAACTTCCCCGCTGAGGCTGTCCGTTCGAGAGTATAGCAGATTATATGGATCCGCACTTGGCAGCTCGGAACAATTATGTACTTAAAACTGTGCGTATTATAACTGCACACATGTATATACATATACGTACCTACGCTAATTACGCGACACGCGTTGCGTTATTAGTTTGTATTTCTTTTTTTTTTTTTTTTCGTTTGATTTTATACTAGCCGATACCTAACTGTACGAGAGTGTGTATTATTGTGTACCACGTATCCTTGTATGTCCGTATGTAATTGACACTTTTAATGCCGTTTAACGATGTAATCAATGGCAATTGTGAGAAGAAAAAAAAAGCGGCTAAAAAATATCGTCTACAATAATGAAGGATGTTTGATTTAAAGGAGAGAGGGGGAAAAAGTGTGCCGTGAAAATATAGCTATATACACGTGTATCGGCCTTCCGAGAGCACGCGCGGGCCTCTAAGGAGGACGCAACGGAGGTTTTTCCGCGACGCGAGCCGCACCACAAAATCGAGGGGAAACGAGACTCCGGCTTGATTCACGCCATCTTCGACGTTCTACTATGTAAAAGCGTGCCAACTCCTCCTTTCGGCATCACCTATTGTCTCTCTCATACGACGGCTTGGTGCTTGGTTCTTCTGATTTGTTTTTTTTAATTGGAATTTACTGGATTGGTTTTCAATGACATTTTTAATTCGATAAAACTAAACTTCTACCTTCGGGATGAATTAGCGGAAATTCAGTGATTGATTTTTTAGTCGATCTATGGGTAAAGTCGCTAATTTGGAGTTGAAGACTATAATTATTACTGATTAAGAGTTGGAGAGCAAGAGGGAAGAAAAAATTAAGTTAATCAGCATAAATTGGCAACAATAACCAAATTGTTGGTACATCCACTGGGATAATAAACTTTGGTTGAGTCAACGAAAAAAAATTTTTTCAAGCGAAAGAGGAAAAACGCATACACGAAACAAGTGCCTCGCCGCAAGAAAGCCGATCGGAAAATATACAGAAAGACGTAGAGACAGGGGGGGGGGGGGGCATTAAGTATCACTTGATCGAGTCGTAAAAGCCCAAACTCTCCTCAAACCGGGGCGCACGTTATTTTTCACCAAAGAAGGAGAGAGAGAGAAAAAAAAATGTTTAACAACCGTGTCGCGATCGATCTGACCGGAGGCCGTAAAATCCCAAGAATCCCCCTCCCCCCCCCCTGTTCGCGCACTCGAACGAAAGTATATAAATAGAGGCTTTTGATTGCGCGTCGGGAGATAAGCGCGTAAAAATTAACAACTACCAGCCGATGTCTCGCAGATGTTTTACTCGCGTCAAGCGTGATCATTCACTCCTTCTCCCCACCCCCCCTTATCTCGCGTCTCGTGTTTTCTCCGTTGTTTAGGAAATTCATTACCCATGTGGGGCTCACTCGCAACTCGGATGGTCAGTTTTATTTCAAAAGTACTCCCCCCCCTCCGGATTTGCGTTAAAATATCGATACAGCCATCATCAGCGTTAATTTTATACATGTAGGCTTCCATAAGCGATGTGTATTAACTATAAGCTGCTCTGCAGTTTGTGACTAATTGAGCGAAACTTAGCCTTCGAAGCAACAGCGAGAGCATCGTCGCGGTGTATTTACGATAATTGTGCGGACTCGCCCACGCAACAACGTATCCACGGGACGAAGGTGGCAGTAAATTACAACCACACATATATATATATATATACAGTCAGCGGGTCGTGTGTGTTCCTCGACCAAACGTGACTCTATACACTTGTTAAATATCGTCGTAAAAGTCTCTATTTTTTTCCTTTTGATTTACATCAGCGCTGTTAGCTGTTTTATTTCCGTCGCAAAAATCCTTGGTTTTCTCACGCGCGTAATACGGACACGTACGCATATATGGTGGTCATTTAAATCACAATAGCCGTTCAAACGATTTTTTGAAAGAAAACCCGATATCGATCCTCCGCCTCCTCCTCTTCTGAACGCGCTTATCTTATCTTTTGTTCTCTGCTCGAGTGTAAGTGGACACAAAGTCTCTATTTTTCGGCCAAGCCCTATTTGGATAACTTTTTATTTTTTCCAGTCTATAACGATGTGCCCGCCCAACCGATAATTTTTATCTTAATCCTCCGGGACCCAACTTTTCGGGCGAGGAATTCTCGGAAAATATAACATATTGGTGATGCACGTTCCAACAATGACTTTCTAATCGAACACACGCCACGTATAAACGAAAAAAAAAACAAAAACAAGAAATCATTTGTTTTGTACGCACAATTATCGTGCAAAGATGATTTTTGATTTATTTATTTTTTATTTTTCAGGAGCAACAAAATCAAGGAAGCGCAAAAAGCTTTTTCGAAAGGAAGGAAAAAAAACATCCGTGCGCAAAACGGAGGATGGAGTAGATACACTCACGCGCGCGCGCGCAAAAGCTCGTTAAGATTCATAATAATGTCCCGAGGTTGCGTTGCGACCTATAAGCACACACACACACACACACGCTTGTGAGCGCGAGTTACGTTGGCTCGCAAGAGTATAAGGCTAATTATCCGACGATTAGGCGCGCGTAATTACAGAGTATAGCAACGATGCCGCTGCGTGTATACATCGGGTTATCTCTCTCTTTTTTGCGCGCGAGGTATGCATGGGTGCGTGCTCGCGGGATGTAAAGAAGTTGTAATGAGGAGAAGCGAGGCGTTTGCGCTAAACAACTCAGCGGCAAGAGAGAGAGATTATCGAGTGCGCGGTGCATTGTGTTTGCGCGTTTACTTTTACGACGCTTCCATATATGCGAGAGTTGCCTTTTTCAATTTATCACTTTCGCAAGGGACGACGATATCGGCAAATTTTACTTTGTTGTTTTTCGGTCGAGTGCGTTTTAGCTTGAATGAATTTACTCCTTCGAAATTAGGAAAGGGACTGTAGTTGAGCTAAAAATTGGGCACACAAGTTACCGAGCACCGAGATTTTTTTTGTTTTTTTTTTTGTTTTTTGTTTTTCGTCGTCACGTACGTTTTTATTGGGTGTTTACGATGGTTTTGTCGTCGGGGGAAACTTTTCCACGAAAATTCCAGCCAGTAACGCGTGTACACGCACCAGGACCACAAAAAAAAGGGGAAAAAGGCGCAAGAGACACGATAAAGAAATTCACCGAGTCTTTACAGCAAACGAGAAACCAGTTTCGCGATTATTTATAATTGATGCGAACGAACGAGGGAAGAAAGAGAGTATATATATAAATACACGCACGCGCGAGGTATATACACTCGACGCACTCTGTTCTTCGCTCCTTTCGCCTGGGAGCGGCCATTTTTGTTTTAATGGATTTTTAATGGCTCGCGTGCAGCAGGCAATACATACACACAGGTGCCCCTTGCACACAATTTTATCGAAAGGTAAAATGTTACACGGGTGCTTTACTCGACGAGCTTCCCTTTTTTTGATCGACTCTTGTATATATATACGGACCGTTTTTGTTTCGCGGAAGGTCGAAAGTACGCGCGATGATATTACGACGGTGTCATAAATTACCACCAAAGCCAGAGAGAGAGAGAGAGAGAGAGAGGCAGGAAGGGAGAGTAAAATTACACAGCTCGGCGCGGGCGCGTCAGTTAATTGCGCACGTTAATGAAAGACCATTGAAAATCAATTTTGGCCATTCGAGCGCTGATATAAGAACTCGCGCTTGTATAAATACACGCGACACTGGGCTTGTTCGCATGAATCTCCAATCGTGAAAAACTAAAAAAATCACCGAAATTCCCAATTATACTCCGCGATGAGTATTGAATTGGTGTTGGCGCATATAGTTTAAAATAGTCATCGACCGGAAATCGCATTGAGCTCTCGTGTTTCGCGAAACAAGTTAGAGACACTTGGGCCGCTGATGTGAGAAATTCCCGGGAAAACGCCCCCTCGCAAACTCTGTGCTTACCCGTGTACAATAAAACCAAATGGCAGAGGGTGGGGGGGGGGGGGCAAAAGTGAATTCCAAAGAGCGAGTCGCCGCGATTACGGCCGACAGCCAATTAAACGGTGCCACGGGCGACGCGCTCTTTGGCGTGGCAGCAGCGGTCGCGCGTGTGTGTGTGTGTTCTCGTTTTGCAATGTTTTCCGCTAATAGTCGCGATCGCATTTAGTCATATGCCTTATATATACCACACTGTATAGGCAAGGTGTTTTACAGTATACGCAATCCAACAAAGTAAGAATGATAAAACAATGGCCCCCTCTTACGGAACAGGGGATGCTTTGTGGCAATAATATACCTAAAAAAAGTACAGTTTGTGCCGATGTCACAGTCAGCGTAATAAAAAGGAAATCATCTGTGAAAGACGCATCGAAAATACTACTTAATACAACTCTGATGCGTCATTTTATTTGAACGTTGCTGTACCAGCTGTTGCCACAAAACACATTGAATCGAAACAAACTCTCATCGGAGTGAACGAGAGACCTATATCGACTGGACTACGTACCACAGTACTCTTCAAATCAATAACTAAAGTGTGTTAAACACACATTGAAGATCCCAGCAGTTCGAGTACTGGCATGTAACGTTGCGCAAAAAGAAGAAGAAAATAAAAGTGCGTATGTATGGGATAAGCAACAACTGACTGCTGACGCGAGAGACACGAGACTCGTAAAATTTTACTGCGTAGTTTATAACCCGCGAAACGTTACATTTATACATATATGTATTCCAAACAAGCCCGTGTATTATAGGCTCGAAACGATATGATTGAGTAATTTGCGCGTTGGAAACATATTAATTATTTCATTAAAGACTCGAGGGGGGGGGGGGCTTGGAAACCCGAGGAAAAATAATAAGGTGTTCGCGGGTAGTTTTTTTTTACAAAGGTATCAATTGTATATAATGTGTTTTTTTTTCTTTTTTTCGATCGTCTCTCGGTGCATCAATGGTACGTATATTATAGGGTACGAGGTCACATGCGTGATGATTGAATGGAGGGACAAACATGAGCCTTACCTGAGTTTCGGAGAGCGAGAGCGCCTGGGCCAGCTGTTTCCTCTCCGCCCCGATGACGTAGTGGTTCTTCTCGAAGGCGTGCTCGAGCTTCAACAGCTGGGACGGACTGAAGGCCGTCCTTATTCTCTTTGGCTTGCGGAAGGGCTGCAGGAGGAAACCGGGGATGTCCGGTCCTGGAATTTTCAAGCGAAATTTCGAGGCTCGTCAGTGTTTTTTTTTTTTTGTTTTTTTTTTGTTCTACAAAAAAAATATAATAATTGACCCCCTTTTTATGTTTACAAAAGTGGGTTACAAACTTTTTTTCTCATTTCACATTTGACGGGCACCTACAAAATTTGCTTAATAAGTAGATGTATTAGAGAGTGAAAAGAAAAATTACGTGCCTATGCACATGGTTTGAAAACAATCACGTATATAATATAAGTCAACTGAGCAAATTCCCATATGATTTAGATAAAGCAATGTAAGCTATATGTGTAGAGAAAAACTGCGTGCTTTTTTTTGAGCACATTGTCTTAATTTTTGTGTGCTCAACAAAAAAAAAAAAAATATCCTATAATCTTTTTTACGCGAAGCATTAAGATTTTGTATCGACCGAATGTTTGTATAGTACCTATATATATTGACTCGATACTCGATTACATATTTAACGTACCTACAACCAATTCGATAAAATGTTGTGGGTATATACAAAAACAAAAGTGTTTTGACTCTTGGATCATTCATAATATGGTATATGACGTCTTACGACACGAATTCATTTAGATTTTTCGATAATGTTCATGTCATTGTAGACGGGATCGAAACCCTTTGACTGTCTCTATACACACGTTGCGATAAGATAAGAGTTCGAGAACTTAAACCCAGTATAATTGTACATAAGTGGTGTACAAGCCTGTCGCACCGTACCATCCGACTAACACCTCGACTAACACGGTCGAACATCGCGTGAGAGAAATTTGTTCGTAATTAATAGCTCATATTATATACTTATTATCTAGTGGCAGGCGAGTTAACGTATGTTTTGGATACTCATTAGACTCGGCGATCGAAGAAAAGTAAGAAGTATAATAAGAAACACAACGATTATTCGTAATTGAGAACAAAAAAATAAAATAAATAAGTAGAGCCAAAACAAGGAAAAAAAAGAAAAAGAAATAAAAAAAAAACAGTAAGCGCAGGACGAGCGTAAAAGTAAAAGAGTAAGTAGGTACAGGTAAAATAAAATTGTAAGGTGTGCGCACTCAATTACAAGACATCGCCAAAAGATAAGCATGCACAATTAGCAGCTACGGCAAAGCAGGACTGACGGTGTTGCCATACCTGTAGGCCATACGTATTGTGTATATATACAACTATACATGTATAAGTAGTTGCAAAGGAAAGGAAATCAGTACCTCGGCCTATACATGTGTATGTATGTGTACGGTTCAAAGGTAATTGCGTAGTCTACTCACGGAAAAGGTCAAGATTAGCGCTTAGTGCCGAGCAGCGCTCCGGAAGTCGTTCGCCTGCCGGAAAGGTGTTAAAGCCGAGTATAGGTGTATATATATATGTAAGGAAGAGCGGAGGGAGCATTTGCTATAGTATAGACGATAAAGCTCGCTCTTGGCGCTGTCTTTCTTTCCTTCCGTCTATCTCTTCTCTATGGTATTTTATATGTATACATATAGGTAAGGATATCGCGCGGTGTTAGAGGAGAGCCTCTTTTCTTTTCTCTAACACGTATATATGTATAGGCGTTTATGCCAACTCGTGCCCGCGCACCACTGCAGAGACCGGTTTGTTTGCGGCAGTGTAATCGGAGTAAGCTGTAAGTCTAGGAGTTTGCATGGTAATTTTTTTTTTTTTTTTTCCT